CAAGGGGAGGAGGAGGAGGAGCTGCGAAGAAGCCCCAGGCATGGAAAGCGAGGGATGCCCTTTCCTTTACATCTGAATGGGGAGAAAATACACAATTGTAATAATAAATAGCAGGTTTTATGAACAATTAGGATTCTACTGTCTCTTTGAAGGGTTTGAAAAGCTGACACGATGTTTTGGGTTCTCCAGATTCAGCTTTGAGGCCTCAACCAAGAGAAACATTCAGCCCCGCTGTGTACAGCAGTGACCACAACAAAGATTGTGGTTTCTCCCACACTCGCCTTAAATAGATCTAAATTAATGCTATTCATCATTGGGTGGAAAAGAAGGGAAATATAAAAGTGCAGTCGCTTGTAGACAAGCCAGCAGCGTTGGGCAACTTTCTCACCATTCATAGGCTTCTCCCGTTTCGGTACCTCGAAGCCCGTCGGGACAGGGAGGTACAGAAATAACGCGCCCTTCGACCGACCAGACCCATTACCTGGAAAACATCCTGGGCACACGAGATGCATCTTTATCCCCCGTTTATTTGTGGTCGCTGTCGTTGTTGTCAGAGAAAGGGGAAAGCTAAAACCACATGGCTGAACTCCTGCCAGGGGATCGTGATAGAGCAGACCGTCCCAAGTGCCACACCAGTTAGGATCCGAATTATCACGGATACTCACCGGCTCAGTTACAACCGCATGGGCAGAGCAGTTGTCCCACCTAAATCCTGCCTCTGTCAGCTACCGCCCCACTTGCAGCCACAGAATGCAGCGGGTCCCCCTCCCCAAAGCCGGGAGCATCCACAGGCGGGAGATATCTTTACACACCACGCAGGGTGTGTAGATCACTGCTTTTTGTGCACGCCCGTGATAGGCAGGCGAGTGAAAATTGGGGTGTCGAGGAGCTGTAGCTGTCTTCTCCCCACCTCTCCTGACTGAGATAGGGAGCCAGGCTCCCACCACTGACTTTTTACAGGCAGCTTTTACAGGGCTGAAGCAATGCAAAAGCTCCCTTCTCCTGGTATTCCTCGAGGGCAGAAATACTGTGAAGTGTCTTCATTTCACTTTTTTCTTTACAACTATAGATTTCTCGCCACGGCAAAAATTAACGGGGGGAGAAAAACACAATCTTATGAGCTCCCAAACATTAAAATCTCAGCTGAACATCGAACTGCATGGAGAGGGCAGGGAAGGTGTGTGAAATACCTGCTGCAAAGCTGGCCGAGTAATTTTTGGTAGGAGTAGAAACGCATAGGGACTATTAACATCGCAAACGAAACTTTAAAGACCATTTTGGATGTACGCTGGAACAGTCATGGGCTGGAAACAGGGTTCTGAAAGCCTTATATAGAGAGGGGATGTCACGGCTGCTTTAAAAGTCTTCAGATGCATGTAAAACCAACACAGGTTATCTTCAGATGCATGTAAAAACAACATACGTTATTACGTATTATCTCCACAGAACAAACACCATTTGAATTGTGCCCCTTCTTAACTACCATTATGAGCTGTCTAAAGAGCATTTTGGTTGAAACTTGGGAGGGAAGAAGAAGGGGGGTAAAAAAAAAAAATTTTTAAAAAAAGCCCACTGATCTTACACCTGCTCTTTAGCAGTGGGAAGTGGGTTCTCAGTCTGTTAACATGACCATCTGGCCAATCTGCATATCACGGCTATCTGGATTACCGTACGAAGGAATGACAATAACGTAGCCAAAACAAAAGTAAAATGCATCAAAAACTAACAGTAGCATGGCCCTTTTGATTTCAAATTAAATAATAAATGTGGTATCACAGCAAAGCGGGGAAGTCGGCTAAATAATTAAAAGTGAGCCTTTGCTACGGCATAATTAAGTAAACAATATGGTGCGTGTTTCTATACGAGCCGGCAATAGTTTCCGCCGTCGAATGCTCCACTTTCGCAGAGCGGCTCGCAGGAGTTCGAGACGCTGTGACAGCTCTTTCGGTGATGTAGAGTATTGTCAGAACACCTCTCACATCCCTGCAACACGCCGAGCGGGCTGCGGCTATTAACAGGATTAATGCAGCAACAATCAACACCAATTGTACTAAAAGATTACGGCACGAAGCCTTATGCACCTTTTCAGACTCCCCGATACCTCTGCGGGTATTTTGGCTATCTGCAGCGGTTTTCGGTATTAACCAGCCTTTGGGGTATTCCCATCGACGCCCTCTTTGTGGTGGTGCAAGTACAAATATTTTAAATCTGCCAACGGGAACGTAAAAAGGGTCTGCTTAAAGTTCAAGGTCATGTGCTATACACTATTGCCCAGACAATTAGCACATTTAGAGGCTAAGTTAATTTTCAGTCGCAGAAATCAGGATGACTTCTCACGTCTTCGCTGGCTTCCGTTCGAAACATGAGCAGAAAAACGAGCTCACGTAAACAAAACCCTGTCCACGGCTTTTTCTTAAATTTGGGATTTTCAAATGTCCTTCCGAAAGATTAAAAGATTTTCCCTGCTGCAAATACCTCGCGAGCTTAATTCTCACCCGAAGCGCATAACGATGGCCGGCCAAAAAAAAAACAAAAACAAACAGGCATTGCAGCATCGCCTCCTGGCCTGCCATCCAGCTTTGTCCACTTGGAGAAGTCTCTAAAAACTGTGACCTCTCACAAAATTTAACTACTTCCATTGCGAATCTATTCTCCAATCTGATCACATTAGCAGAAGGAACTCCAAAGCAGTAAAAAACTCCAGAAAGTTCTCGGTTGAGTGCCTACTAATGAACAAAGGTTAACTTTATCTAAAAGGTCAAATGCCTGGTGGCTAAGGTTGTGACCTTAACAACTTAAATTGTGACCTTGCCACGTGCCTAGTATATTGTAGATTCTGATACAGATCATCTGGTAAAGGACCGGTCATAAATTAGCTTTACTGTTCGACTCCCACAAAGAAAACGGTTTGCCACAATGGTTTCCAACTTGTCATTTGATACAAGCACGGAATAAGTGAAAACTAAAAAAGTGAACCCAAGTTCAGGGTATGAAAACGCCGCCTGCTTTTAGTTAAGCAGATTAGAAACTGCAAACTGAGAGTAACACTCTAGATTTCAATACATTTTTTGGTCAACCTCTAATTCACAAAACACCGATCTTCCTTTCCTTTTTTGTTTTTTTTTTTTCTTTTTTTTTTTAAATTAAAATGACATGTAGTTTCCCTATTTGCATATTTTTGTTTTCTCTTTCTAGCCAGTTCTTAAAGAGAATAATTGATTTCAGTAGCTTTGTAAGAAGCACTATTTAAATCTGTGCACATGTGCTCCCTTACAGATGATAGTGCCTGCTGAAGAAAAAGCGCGGATTCAAAGCAATAATTATCGTACATGTTTAGAAGGAAAGGGACATCTCGCTGCTGAAGCCATCTCGAATAAGGGCATCTTGGAAGAGAATACTCCCCCCCTCCAAAAGAAAAAAAAAAAGACGATGAAGAGTAGGGGAAGAAAAAAAAAAACCACACAAGAAAAAGAGAAGCGAGCACTATGGGTGAAAAGGTCACAATGGTTTTGGCACGTATCTTCAAGCACGTTGCGGAGTCTGTGCCTCCTGCCAATACTGGCAACTTCTCAAAACTTTTAAGGAGGTAAAAACATTGTTTAGTGTTTACAAATCTTCTGTGCTATAGCAGATGCTTGTCAAATCCACTATACGTAAGTTGACCAGCCTACCTAATATTTGCACTGGCGACTTCCTCCTTATAAATTCACGGTCCATACATTGGGGGAGCGAGGCCCGATGGAGTTTGAGACAAAGGACCCTTAATATTTTTTTTTTCTTTTGTAATTTTCCTGTTGCGCACCCGGCACAAGCTGCCATTACTGCGGGTCTGCGGGAACCAATGGCTGTCAACTTGGCCAATGTTCAGGTGTAACAAAGACTGCTGGGATACATCGGAGGGGGGAAAAAAATGGGAAAAAGGGGGACAAAAAAAGGTACCCTATATGCAAGGCTTTTGGTACACCTCTGTGAAGCGATACAGACGGAGACCACGCTGTGCTACTTCCGAAAAAAAATCATTTTGTCCCCCTCCCCGGTGAGGTTTTAGCAGGGCATATGCCAGCACACGCTACTGCATTAAGAGCACAATGCGATGCGTACAATCAGCAAACAACGGCCGAACACGCGAAGCGGTGAAGTCTGCGCGAGCGCGTTACTGCTCACGCCGAACCGCGAACCCGACCTCCCCCCCAAAAAAACGAGTCCTAAGCACTAAGTTTCCGCGGCAAACACCTCGTCCAAAGAACAATTAGTGCAATTGCTGCCTGTTGATGATGAAGGCAGGAATAAACAAGAGTACGCTATCAAGGCTACTGTTTGCCAACAGCGCGCTGATAAGATGGTGTATCCCTAATCACAATATTGAACTTTTACAATGTCTATTGCTTGACTGTTATAACGGAAAAAGGATCCCTTCAAGCTCCCTGGAGTACTTAGAAACCTGGGTTTGGTCCTTTTCTCCCCATCCTGCATTTTTGTGACCCTACACTCAGGCTAAACCAAGATCGCTGGTTTCTGTTAACAACTTCTGCACTCTGCAAAAAGGCTGCTTTTCACTTAGGAAACACAATACGGACCAGTATTTAGCGGCAGCAGACTATATATAAATCTAAATAATAAAAACCCGCGTGCCGTATAGCAGCACGTAGCGTTTTTCAGCCATGGATACCCAAGTACTTTCAGCGCATCACCCCATCCCAACCTGCGGAGGAGGAAACTGAGGCAGACAAAAGGGATATGAACTCCCGGTCCCCTCAGGGCCAATGATGGAATGGGAGGGAACCCGCAACGCCCCAGCCTCAGTCTCCCTTCGGTTAGCCATTAATTGGTAATCCTTCCTTCACCCTGCCCCATAATAATTCGCAGAGTAAATAAATAATTTCCCACAGTGTTTGTCTACCTCCCCTTCACCATAAACGCGCAACGTGATTTACCGCATTGCACTGACGCGCAAAGTAAATTGCGCGGCTTATCTGTAGGAAATACCACAAGCATCTTCAAAAGTTATTTCCGAACAGGGATCACTCCCGTAAAAATCACAGCGGCGACGCTGCCTGTTGCAACAACCACTGCAGGGACTCGGCGCAGAAAAAACTTTGGAGCAGCCAAAACTTTCTGCAAGACCCTCTGGAAGAAGGTGGTGTTGGAAGAACAGGCTCCTAGTGCTATAATTTGCCCAGTTTTCTTAATGATACATATTTATATAGAAGTGGTTTCTACTCCTATAATTCCTCTCCCCGCTGCCCCTCTCTTCTTTTTCCCCAATCTCTCAAAACTCGCAAGTCAGGCTGAAGCCCAGGGGGGCCTATAGGTACCATACGTGAAAAAACACTGGGCCTAGCACTTCACACGCGCACATTTTTCTGCAATACAATCACTCAGGAGAACTACAATAGCACATTATTTTATCCCATCAACACACCACCCATCCTCTGAGCACGCCGAGTCGCTCCGCGGGCTGGGTGTACTTTGCGCTGGAGTCGAGAGATCCCGAGATTTTCATTTTCATCACGCGAAAAAAACAGCTCAGCCACCCCGCCACCAACCCCTGCCCTCCATAAGCACAGTATTATCAAACCAGGAATTGGTTTCAAGACCTGCTCAGCTTCTAGGTGTATAAATCGTGATATTTCAGGGGGAGGGGGGGGTTATATGCCTCCTTTTCCCCATAGGATTACACGAGGGGGTTTGTTTTGTGACCTGATGACTACTTTTGCTATCGAGGGACCGTCTTCTTGTTTCCCTCCGAGCCCAATCCTGCAGGATTGACACTCCCCATCCCCGTGGGGTGAGGATACCTGGTGCTCCCGACCCACTGGGGCCTGGGGCACTTCTAGCCGTCTGAGACTACTTTGCTCATAACATACACAAATTTATTTTTTTTTAAAAAAACGTAACTAAAATGCATCCTCTTTCCCCTAAAATCAGGATAAAGGAAGCCATGTCTGGCTGTGAAGACAACATTTAGTATAACACCTGTGAAGGATGCCCGAAATGCCGTTAACCCCAGGAAAACAAGAGCCACTTTTATGCGGCTGCAACTTAAAAACCCATTTAAAAAAAAAAAAAAAAAGGAGGAGAGTTTTGGCACCCTCCTCATCGCGCCGGGAGGGCGATAAGCGACCTTCCCTGCTCCCTCCCCAGCTCATGCAGACACCACCGGGTAACGGCACCCGGCACGGAGATAAACCGAAAAGTTGGAGAAGGTGGTATAGAAAAGCACTTACCTGCTGCGTGCACAAAGTATGCCAAATATAAATCGAGTTCCTTAACAGAAACTCCTATATGGTGGGGCTGTACGCACAGCCCAGGGTTAGAGCACTGTGGGGACTTTACAAGGCGCTCGCCATCAGTACTTTCGAGCGGAATACCTTTAAATAAAATCACCATAACAAGGTCCAACCTCCAGACCTTATCTGCCTGGCGAAGGCAGTCAATTCTTCTCATCTTGCCCTTCTGGTCTGGATTGGAAAGAACGCAACACGGAGGCTTTTTTCCTGTGACTGTGAGAACAAAATCCTCCCGAAATTCAGGCCTGATATCTTTCCGGAGCTTTGCCAGAAGTCTGGATGCCCATTTTTGCTTTACCTCGGGTTTTTCACTTAGCAGTTCGTCCTTCACGGCTCTCTCTTCCTCTTTTGACATGCGTTTTTCATGTTTTTTGAAGTATTTTCTTTTTCGGGCTTGCAGGTTGAACCATGTGTATGCAAACGCTCGGACGTGAGGCAGAAGTGCTTCAATGAAGGGATGAAATTCATCCTGAAAAAGCGACAGAGAAGGGCCGAGGTCACCAAAACCATCAACAAAAAACCCTCCAGAAACAGGGCTTTCGCCCGAGGCGCTAAGGTTTGCCGGGATGGTGAGAATTAGGAGGGTGTTTATATGTTTTGGGGGGCTGCGGGCCTCGTACCCCTCACCGACGGACCCCGCTTCACCTCGCACCCTCCCACCAACCCGAAAACTTGCTCCAACTTCAAACGAACACCTAGGCAACGATGGGGCCCTTTCCCCTCCCCGATCCCTAATTTTCTTAGGGAAAAAAAATAAAACAATAATAATAAAAATATAGAAAAAGAGTTAACAGTTAAAATCCTGGCTGCAAGTCCACTTGCGGAGCGCCTATCTCCCTGCGCTCTCTCCCTGACCTCGCTGCTTGCGGTACTTGCTCCAACTTCAAACGAACACCTAGGCAACGATGGGGCCCTTTCCCCTCCCCGATCCCTAATTTTCTTAGGGAAAAAAAATAAAACAATAATAATAAAAATATAGAAAAAGAGTTAACAGTTAAAATCCTGGCTGCAAGTCCACTTGCGGAGCGCCTATCTCCCTGCGCTCTCTCCCTGACCTCGCTGCTTGCGGTTTAGCCAGCGTGTGCCCGCCAATTTGGCAAATCCTAAACATTTGGATGCCAATCAATGTTTGTATGGGGAAGCCTAAAGTATAGTAAAACTTTCCCTAAGATATATTTGGAAAGAGCGGCAGGCGATATAGTAAAACACTGATAGAGCTGCGTGTACAAATACAATGAAGGGTGGTTTTTTCCTCCCGTTTCCTAAACGGTGAAGGGAGTAGAAAGTAACACGGCCGATTTTATGCCGCTTGTGCAACATTAACTAATGCTAAAATCCTAGAAAAAAAAGCAAGTCTCACAATTATTTTTAAAAAAAAAGTTTTGCTTGCATTTAGTCAAAAAGGAAAAAATAGAAATCTGATGATCGGGCATCTGAGGACAAATCAAACTCTGAGCTTTTCTATAAAATAAAAAGAAATGGTAAAAACTGGAAAAAAATCAAGAAAACTTAGCACAACTTGTGTAAATAGGCAAAGAATTTATAATTTTTTCTTTACATGTTGTGTTGCGTTCTCGTGGATTTAAAAAGAAATGCCCTACTTGGAAAGTTAGTTTGGCCATCCAGAGACACTGCTCACTTTGTGTAACGATGAGTTAAAGATCACCTCTCTTCCTTGGTACAAAAATAACCACGATCAAAATTATGTCGACAATTAAAATAAATAAATAAATAAATAAAAGACAAGAAAGAACCCCCTACCCCCAATTCTGTTTTGATAAATAAATAAATAAATAAAAATATATCCTCAAAAAAGTAGTAGATAAACTAGCCAAAGAGATCAAAACGTATCATAATAAACTGAGGCCAGGCTTCTTGTTTTTCTCTGAATAAATGAATGACCGAACCCCCGGCTGCAGATAAAAACGTATATATCCTGTGGGGGCCTGATCCAGCCTCGCGTGCTGGGGACATCCCTGCTTCAAGGGCCCGAGTTCCTCCTTTCCTCAGGATTGGGCCCTCCGGGAGGGAAAAATAAAAGTAATTTGTGCAATGTTTCCAGCAGCACGGTAAAAGCCACCCGCTGCCTACCCTCGCAAAGCAACATTGGAGATTTTTCAGATTAATTTTATTTTTTTTTTAAATTATCCCATGGAGCACGTTTCCTACCCAAATTATTTCAGGTCGTGCGAATATTGTTATTAAAATGGGCATCTAACTTCCTTTCACCACCTTATTTTAACTTGCATTTTCTTTCCAAAAACGACGAAAAATTTAGAAATCAATGGTAGAAATATCTATCTATCAGCAAAATCCTGTCGCAATTCAAGACCTTCTGCTGACTTCCCAAAAGCTTTCATTGCACTTACTCTGAGTGGCCCCTGAATTGCAAATACTTAAATCTGTAGATAATACCACAGCATTTACTTTTTTTATTTTAAACACAAATTGTTAAAAACTACCAAAAAAAGGCACAATATATTTCATTGTAGCGCAGCAGAGCGGCAGTAATCACAAGTACTATGAAGGACTATTAAACTATAAGCAGGTAAAACAAAATAAATCACTCCAATGATTGGCACATTCCTCTTTTTTTCTCCCTCCCCCCTCCTCTGCTGGAAAAGATCATAGTTTCAAATTTCAATAAAGTTAAAAAAAAAATTTAAAAAAAAAAAGAAATAAAAAGAAAAGATTGCTGCGAGTTTGCAGTCGGCAGATTCAAAAAGTGAGAGCAGGCACAAGCCCAGCACATGGAGTTGCTCTCACCCACCAGCAACAGCTCTGGCAGGGGAAGGGGACGGGGGGGAGGGATAGAAAAAATATAATAAAAATCTAAAAACTATAGGTCCCTACATGCGATTAAAAATAATAAACCCTTCCTTCTGATCCCTCCTGGCCTTCCCCTTTCCCAGTCAGGGAGAGTCGAGGAAAAAAGGCCTTTTGTCAAGTGGAAGTTTATCTGCGAAGGTACACACAGAGCAGAGGCTCGACAGACCCACAGCGAACCAGGGGAGAGCTTCCAGCATTCCCAGTTTCTAAACACATCTTGGTACATCCTGAAATATTTTAACTTTTCTGCTTTAAGCGGCGCTTTGTCCTGCCTGATCTCAAGCGCTCGGGACTTTTTTGGCTCGACGCTGGATACTATCCAAGAGAGAGTCGCTTTAACCTGCGCTAAAGCTGATTTCTATGATGTGAACCTGAAAGGAGAGGTAAAACCAACACCCGATAAAAAAAAACAAAAACCCACACACAAAACAAAAAATACCGCCACTAAACCCCACTTCAAAAGACTTCAGGGAAAGAAAAAAAAAAAAAAAGTGCTTTTTGGTGTAAAGTCAGGGTCCGTGGCTGAAGTAAATGAAAAGCGCTGCAGCTCGCCGTGCGAGGTGTGCACGTCCCTGCTAGACTCCAACGTGTCTGTTCAAAATGGTGTACGAGGAGAAAAGGTTAATGACTCACAAACAGACCAACTTTCAAACTGTCTCGGTAAACACGCCGCTCCGTAAAAAATCGCACAGCTTCAATCTCGGCAGCAAGGTATTAGCAAAGTCAGAGTGGAAATAAAAGCACTCAGGACTATCAAACAAAATTGGGCTGGAAGTGGGGACGGGCAGGGGGGGAAGTAATTTCTGCACAATACAATTATTTATTTCAGTGTTATTATATAGTGTGTGTGTGTGTACCCCTCCAAAAACAAAAAGTTTTGGAAATGTGTCAGTGCAAGCGTGCTAACAGATGTGCAGACTTGTCTGCAGCCTCCCCGCAAAATATCAAGATTTTGGTGGAAAAGGAGATGCTTTGCCGTTCCCCAAAAGTTAGCTTTAAGGGAAACTTTTGAAGTATTTGATAAAGATGTTCGCTTTCCCCTTTCGGCTTTTGATAGGTCACCTAAAAATAAAAGGCACCAGAAAGCTGGGAAAGCGAGAATAAAAAGTCAGTTGGGGTTTTTTGGGTTTGTTGTTTTTTCTTTTTTTCACTGCACTACTCTTCAAAGTTTGAGGATACAGTTCTTGGGAGAACAGCCTGTTTCTAAGCAGCACCTCCAATTTGGGATGCACAATTCTGTTATCGCCTATTCCAAAATTCTCCTAAGCTCTGCAGAAAGGTGTAAAATAAATAAATAACTCGGCGAACAAATAAATAAATAAATAAACCATGACAAAAGAGCCCCCAAACCCAGCCTAAAGGCACCCGCTATAATGTAACCCTGCAAAGGAGTCTTTTGAAACAATATATTTCTGCTGGTCTTTTTGAAATTAAGCCAGCTACAGCGACCCTTGTTAATATTTTTACAATCCGTTTGCTTGTAAATCTATTAGATGTGCATATGTTCCCCAACTATTTCCTAGATCTTCAGCAGATATGTAAATGGAACGATGTTTAGATTTTTCCTGACAGATGATACAAAATGCTCATGCCACTTCAGTTCCAGTGCTTGGATAAATATGTTCATAACCAGGATTTCTATTTGTTTTCCTTTCCCAACCCACTTTCGAAAGCTTCCCTTTAAATCTGAACCAAAACTTAACACATAGACACAAAAAAAAAAAAGAAAGAGGAAAAAAAAAAATCTCCGTCTCAAAACTTGTATCAGTAAAAGCTCCTGAAATGAAAAATAGGAAATTGCTTGCAATTTCTCAGGGCTCACTCCCTTTTTCTACAGAAAATGGCAAAATCGGCTCATTGATCCTTCGGAGGGAAGAGTTTGTCAGGAGGCCTCTAATCCTCGTATTACTTTTCCAAATGTGCAACAAGAACGCGAGATTTTCACAACTGAGTAAAAGCATTGCGCCTGGCTTTTATTTCCTTTTTTATTTAGGGGGGAAAAATAGAAAGAAAAAAAAACCCCAACAAGCCAGGGGACACACGTACACATATAACACAGACGTGGAGCAACCAGCCCATAGATTAATTTTTTTCTCCTTAACGTGCAACTGGGCCTAGTACCTACTAACCCCAAGCAGCTCCACGTGCAGACGCAAAGCGCTGCCGGTCCCTCCTGCAGAAGCACAACTGCCAAACCCCAGGTATTCTGCAGAGTTGAATTAAAAGCACAAACTTTCTGCATCCCGCGGCCGCTGCAAAAACTCCCTCCGCGCTCCCCTTTTATCCTCCTGCCTTTAATCAAGTGTAGGGTGGGTGGTTTGGCTGGGGTTTGGGTTTTTTTATTATTTTCTAAGCCTGGTGGAGTTTCCTGCCCCCACCGGCCTGGCTTCTCCTCCCCAGGCGCCCAGAAATTTGGGGGAGGCTGAAAAAGGAGAAGGAGGGGACCAGGGTGAGAGAAGGAGACAAACTTTTGCAGCTCTTCAGGCTGCCTGGGAAGCTGCTTCCCCTCTCCCTGCATTTCCTCGCTTTTTTTTTTTTTTCTTCTCGACGGAAAG